CCAACTTGCTCGAGACTCACGATATTATTGCGGAGGGATACCCTGGCGTCTGGCACGTCAGTAGAACTATTGTGCCGTCGTTTGAGGAAACTATTGGTCGATCCACGAAGACCTCAATCGGTAGTGTTACTGTGCGATCTGAAGCCCGGTGACAATGATACGATAGAAGTGACCATTTTCTCCGAGGCGGCAGCAGATGCAGCCCGCGATCTCGGCGAAACACTCAGTCGTCCATTAGCCAGACCTCTCGTATTAGTTTCTGTACTAGAGGTCAAAGTAGAGACAGCGCTGCTCAGCGAACCTAGTTTGGCGAGTGCGGCTAATGCCAGTAGCTACGTGACTGTTTTGGGCAGCGCTCTAGCCATTGTGCTGTTATTGGTGCTATTCGGTAGCTTCTGGTACCTTAAAACTATGAGGCATAGATCGAACCTGACGGCGACTACTAGCAGCGAAACTTCGTTACACCGTCATCGCAGTGATCTAGACGAAAAGTCGAATAACCTTCAGAACGAAGAGAATTTGAGGAGATATGCCAATCCTCTGAAGGACCAGGATTCCGAACCCCGCGTGTCCGTTGTAAGACCTCTGTCAGGCACTTCGCTTGGCACATTAACCGGCACCGAGGAGAGTCTTGAAATGGTATCTGAAGAAGGCAGACATCGTTTGCCACCACTCTATAAACCGCCCAGCGCGGAAGCTAGGAACAATACGGCCAGTTTTAGCTATGAAGAAGGACCGCATAAGCCTTACATCAAGCCCAGATTGCAAGAACCAATGTACCCTCATCAGCAACCAGGTACCAGTCAGACGTCGGGGCCGCATCAAGTGCTAACGGTACACGTGTGATTAAATATCATTAAAGTAGTGTGAAGAACAGTGATTTTTTTATTTTTCTTTCTTACATGATGACTAATGAAAATTCTTAGAGACTTGAAAGGAACTGAACTTCACTTGAACGATCTATTTTTTTTTTGTGATAATGAAAAATGACTTTCGATTTCGAGATTAACTTGAGATGGTTCTTTTCAGAGTTTTCTTTATGAAAATTGAACCAATATTAGAATATATATTAGGGACAAATGCAGAGAAAAAAGAAAGAGGACGATTTTAAAGGGCTCAGCAATACCATTATGTTATAAGATAACACATAAATTTTCAATGTCTCTCCGAAGCACATTTTTTATGATCGCTTCATTTATAGTATTATTAGAATATGATTATTAAAATTTTCAATTTCTAAATAATTATAAAATAATTAGCAAAAATATTAGTACTATTTTCAGGTTGAAAATTTAGAAAATAATTAAAATTTATTTCCTTTCTTTTTCTCCTCATCCGGTCCTTTCATGCTTTTATATGATGACAATAAACGATTGACATTTATAAATAATTTTAATGATAATGATCAGTTGTTATCGTTGTACATATGTACATAGCTCGTACTTATTAATTTCGCTAAGCCTATATTTCCTCCGCATCATCTTCGGCATTGCCATTCTTCTCTTCTGTACGCGCCCTCAATTTTATGTGTTTATATTTAATCTTATACTCTTTGATATTATTTTATACATCGCCATTGTTAGCGTTTTTATTTTCATAATTTAAAAAATAGGATGGCATCGTCGCACCTACGAGATGTATTGTACGTTTGTCATATATAATTGAAGCAAAGCTGCGCTTTATTCAGGATCAAAAGATGCATAGCATGTAAATAAATTTGACAAAAAATACGAGAATTTCTTTAGATATCATTTGTGTTTAATATATCGCGCAGACAATCGCTTGATCATCGTACGTGAAAGTATGCTTTGTATGATATAACGTGTGCTTCAAACGTTCCTTCAGACGATATTATTGTGATACTCATAGAAGAAACAACGTTATTGTATAGCATTACTATGGTACTCTGCGTGTTCATTTATTTCACTTGCTCGAGTTTTATTTTTTTTCCGCGAAGACACGACACGTGATTTTTATGCGATGGAAAATATTGCCATTGCGAGAAAATGTGCTATACGATACGCTAAATCGCGGCGGCACATTGATTTGTAAAGAACATGTTAGCAGCGTAAATGTAATATTTAGAACGTATTCAAACGCAGAATAAAAACGATGTACATAGTGACGCTATTGCATCGTAGAACGATGTAAATAAATCTAAGTACACATGTCCAAATCGTTTTCATCCCGAGTCATTATCGACCCACCCTTAGATGTGCAATTCGTTTTTTTTTATATTAGCATTTTTCGTATTCTCTAGCAAAGTGTCAAAGTGTCAGACTAGTTTAACTAAGAAACATAGCTCGTTTTACGCATACATAGATTTACAGCAAGAAGGAACCAAGTTTTATAATAAATACTTTATTTTGTAGAGAAAACTATATTATTGTACGAATACATATATAGAAGAGAATGAGAAAAACGAGGAATATATATATATATATATATACAAATATATAAATATAAATATATATTATATATTATTTTATATATTATATTATTTTTATTTTATTATTTCGTATTAATTATTTTCAGATCATAAGCAATAGTTGATCATTGTCATACAATTTTTCGTTTATTCGTCGTCTTCAAAGCGAACGACTGCATTAAAAATCCGGCATACTAATGCTTTTGGTCTAATTGATAGATAAACAATTAATTAAGAAGCATCCACGTTGTGATTATTCGTGTTTGATATCGAGAAATGTGCAAACGAATACGTGTATATAAGTTCCCTCCTACTATCCCCTCTTCTCACTCTTCCCCCACATAAGTTTATGACGATGTGAAGGATTTCAATAAAAAGTACAACCATTCGACATTGCGTTTACGATTTATTATACCTTTGCATCAATGCGTCGATGATAACACTCACATAAGCATTCCTGGCATTGAAATCACTGAAAGAGAATAGTTAAACGAAAGAACAAAATTATATATTCTCGCAACAACTTCTTCCGGTAATAAATATCACAATATTTTACATTTATTACAGAAGATTAACAGAGGAGTCATTTTATATATTTTTTTGTTATTTTAGTAAAAATGAGAAAAACCTTATGAGAAAAAATTATAATGAAGCTAATCGAATTATCTTCATTGTTCGCTAGCCAATTAAGAAATCATAATTTATTTGCTTCCCTTCAGAGATACGGGCGGCGGATTTTATCAGCGGCGCCGATTTCAATGGCCCATCACGATTGTTTCATTAGAGATAATACCGATATCATTACCATCGAAAGCGCGGCCGAGATTAACAAAGCGCTTGGGTCATCTCATCGTTGCCGCGACGAGACGGGACGGATCCTCTCGTGCACGAAGCACGTACCGTTGAATGAATGATCTACCGAAATTACAATACAATGGATCAGAAGACCACTTGACAAATATCCAGTAGATGAATCATGCGTGATAAACGATTTGACTCGTGTGAAACACGATAGTAGCCGCCGATCGCCGCAATAGCTTAGGATAATTCCGATATATACGCCGCATCTAAAAACTTAATTTATTAAATATTATTTACTATGTTTAAAATAAACAAATTATATCAGTAAAAACTTTGTACTGTCTACTACTATGAAAAAAATATTAGAAATCCGAAATATTTATTTTTCATATTAAAAAATAAACTTTTCGAAACCCTTGCATTTATCCCATAAACTTTTCGAAACCCTTGTCATATATCCCATAAGGGTGTGATATATGGCTACTCAAAGGGGGAAGGCGGAGTATGTACGATTCATGAAAAATTTACAAATAATACATATAAATAAGACATATAATGGCACAATAACTTATAAAACGTGCTTATAAAGTTTTATTAAGGAATAAGAATGATAAATATGTATATGAAGTAATAAATAATAATTACTTCCTACATAGATTACAAGCGTTATCACATGAAGTGCATATTTCATATAATGCATTATGACATGAAGTACATAGTTGCATTTAATGCACTGAATTCTATTTATACTGAATTCTATTTACACGCACTTTGGGCATAAATCCCGTTCGCTAAAAATACCGTATATCCCAAACTGATAGGATATACAAGACAGCAAACTAAACAAAGAATATGAAAGCAAAGCATTTGTATTTTGCTATACAACATGTTTTACTATTCCACTAGACGTATGTATCATGAAATAACCACTAATAACTTTCACACGCCCTAATCATTTTATGTAGATTATAATGGCGTAATTATGATGGCGTTACTTATTACAGTGACAAATCGATTCAACTAACAATAATTTCATTAATATTAACAATAAGAAGCTGAAATCATAATATAATATTAATATAATATAAAGGCATGTAAGAATAGTTACGAAAATTACTCCCATTCCTTCTATTTTTTCTGTGGCGTAAATCTTAGCATGGCGTATTTGCCGGAGTTACCCTATACCTTTTATTACTTGTAAAGTATATTTATTATTGTGAACTTAAATATTGTTCCAAAGACAAAGAATTTATTATATTATATTTAATTAAATATTATATTTGTTTTAATATTATAATTATGCAACGTGTCATTTAATTTCCATAAATATGCAGCTAATTTCACGTAACAAAGTGTTATAAAATTAAGAATCATATGTTATATATGTATATTTTGATATAATGATATTTATATTTATACAAATTTTCATTGTATCACCAATTTCATTGAAGGAATAATAAATATATCATCCATAAATATGGATCTCACACAAGTATTTAAACAATAATATGATTTCTACAATGTTCCGATATACTTTCTTTTTCACAACTAAAAGAATAAATGTATTCAAATTTTCATATATTTTATGTTCAAATAAAATCATATGTGATGTCAAATTAGTAATTAACGATAATGAGATAAGATATAATTATGTCGAATAACCTTGTATAAATTTCGCAAACATCATTCAGATATTGGAAGATGTTACCGAACATTGCAAGATAAAGAAACAGATGCGTGGACCAATTATGATAAAGATAACACTGAAACGATGGAGAAAGAAGGAAAACAAGAAAAAGAAGACATCAAAATGGAGTCTGAAGCTATGAAAGAGGAAGGAGAAGAAATCAAAGCGGAACCAGAAATAATCGACAAGACTGATATATTTACTGATTTTATGGTGGAATTTGACGCAAAACAGACAAAGGGATTGGCGGTCATTGCTGAAGAGAAGAAGACACAGTTGCCACAACTGATTCGTGTAACTTAAGCGTAGTAACTTGGTAGCTTATTATTTCAGTAATATACAGAATGTCCTGTATTTCGATGTTCGCAATTCAATTTTATTAGATAAGTATGTCGTAAACCCTAAATAATTAAGCTATCGTAACATGAATAAATGACAGGACCGATCTGTCTTTAATTTTGAGTAAATCTCTAGTCAAGCGCTGTGATATGAAAGATAGGTTGAAGAACGGAAGAAAGATGACGATGTATCTGAAGAAACGCCAATCACGCCAGAAGATGAAGATATTCTAAGTGATCGAGTATCCACTGAAAGTTCGATTCATCCATGTTTACGCAAGATAGATATCAGCGATTCTCAGCTGAAATTAGTGAATCCGTATACGGTGTACAAGGTTCCGAACGATCCCGGATTGCTACCAGCTTTCTGGCTATTACGTGAAAGCCCGCCTATTTACAGCCCGGATGGTGTACAGAAATTCTATGACATAGTAAAACGTGCTGATTTGAGATCGATTAGTTCGTTAAAAGATATGCTCTTATCAGATCAATTAAATCTACATTATTATGGACTTAAGTCATCAATAATGGGAGCGATCTGTGAGGCTTTGGCCGACAACACTTTTGTACGAAAATTGGATTTGAAGGTACAAGGAAGTTTAAGTAACAATTTATATGGATTTTTATAAAATCCTAAATAAAATAATCCTAAATATCTTAAAGTATCATGAAAATGATTATTTATTTGAAAACTGCCTATGGATTAGAATTAAACTTGAATTTTTTACTCTATGATGCAAATGTTTACTTCGCGTTGATTAATAAAATTTTTTTTTTAATTTAAAATAACTATTTTTTATATTTTTTATTATAGGACAATAAACTATCCGCAATTGCGTGCAGATATCTAAATGATTTATTACTTAAAAACAATACAATAATCGATTTATCATTATCGGGTTGCCGAATTGGCACGAATGGCGCAGAAAAATTGTATGACGCGATATCGGAGAACACAAGTCTGAAGATGCTCGATCTTAGCAGATGCGATATCGGCAATGAAGGCTTCGAATATATCGCGTCTGCATTATCTAATAATCAAGATTTAGAGAGTGTTGATCTATCCGACAATCATCTGGACAAAGCGTGCTCACAAAGTCTGCAGAATTTGCTCTTGTACTCCAGCTTGACGCACCTGAACTTATCCTGGAATTCTCTATATGACGCAAAACTCTGGAAAGCTCTGGTCGATGGACTCAAGAAAAATGAGACGCTGCGTTCCCTGAATTTATCTTGGAACGCACTTGAAGAGAGATGTGTGCCTCATCTTTACAACTTATTATTACGCTCGCAGAACATTGAAAAGCTGAACTTAAGTTGTAAATATATCAGATTTTTAAAAATACATATTTATATTAACGGTTCTATACACACAATTATAAAAGAAATAAAAATTAAAAATCGTCAAGACAAAAAAGAATCTTTTATCAAAAATAATCTCCCTTACTTATTATTTTTTTTTTAAGAATGGCTCAATTTTTTTCAACATTTATTATTTATATATTTCATTATATAATAAAAAACGAAATAGAAAGTGTCATAAAAATTGTTTTTATATAAAAAACGAAATAAAGTGTCATAAAATATGAATATCTAGCAATCACTTGAAATATTTTCTCGTGGGAAATAAATTCCAAAGCACGTGTTTTTTTCTTAAAAGTTTAATTTTTTTGCGATTCAAAGGGAATAGATTTACCGAAAATGATGCTGAAATCATAGCACAAGGTCTATCGAAGAATAATACGCTTCAAGAATTACAATTGGGAAACAACCCTTTGGGAGCACAAGGTGTTTCAGCTTTGATTGACGCAATTACGCCGAACCTATCGCCCAATGAGACTTTACGTCTTTTGGACTTAGAGAACATTTGGGCAAATAAGAATATTCTCGAAAATTTGGAGATAATCGAAAACATCAAACCATGGGTTACAATCAAATTAGGCGGTATTCTGAGCAATTATCAGATCGTTGGACCAAATGTTAGAAGACTACTTCTGAAGAGAGCGAAATACGAAGCAATGTTACCAAAAAAAAAGAAGCAACGACGCGATTTCGGCCAATTTGTGATATCGTTGACAGACAAACTAATAGCACGAGGCATGTTCGTACGAATTTATTACAGATTTTTTTCTTAGTTTTCTCCAAATTTATGAAAAATCATAATCGTTCGTATTTTAAGAAAAATAAACTGTTTTAAGAAAATAAACAGATTTCTTCATTCTTATAGCAAAATTTATGCAGCTAGTGCAGAAGTTCGAACTAAAGCTTTCTACATCGCTTATCGATGAGATAATGAATGCATTCAAGGGGCCACATAATACTGTCGATCAAGAACAGTTAAAATCATTTTATTTGGAAGAATACCCAGAAACGACATTATTAACATTGAAGAAAAAGAAATAAAACGATACAAAAAAAGAGAAGTAGAAAGAGAAGTAGAATGAAAAAACGAAAAAATACAAACAAAAATTAACGTAGAAAACAATAAAAAATAAATCAAGAATTAAAAAAAATATATATTGTCATGTAATAAATGATTGAAAAAAATTTTAGAATCTCTTTATAATACTATATTACATATTTCACACCATGAAATGATAGATTATAATAAATGTCATTTTGTAAAAGCTTATCAAGCATTAATTTTTGCTTTTAATGGGGTACAATATCTAAATTTATATTTATATATATATATGTGTGTGTGTGTGTGTGTATGTGTGTGTGTGTGTGTGTGTGTGTGTGTGTGTGGTATTAAATTAATCTAAGATTCTATAAGGCAATAAAGTGGAATATTAAAAACAGAAAGCTAATACATACGTAAAATTAAGTCACTACTTAATTTACTTTATTCTCTCTTCCTATGTAAATTATTACTATTAAATATAAAGTAACGTGCAAATATGTATATTAGTTCTTTCTTTTCCTTACATTAAGAATTATTATAAAATATTTTTTCTTCTATCCTTCATTTATACATTATTTATGTCAATGATTTCGCTTTTTAGACATGAGATATATTGCAAACCGTCTTTCATTTACTTCACATTATCAACTATAATATATTGTTATGATTTCATAGAATATATAACAATAAAGTAAGAAAGGGACGCATTTAATAACTGTAAAAATTATTATGTTTGCTTTCATTTTGTTGCATTATATAAAAAATATATTTTTAGTATTATAGTATAGGATATAAAATATATATTTTGTGTACCGTAGCAAAAGATTCTAAGGATGCTACAATCAATTCACCGAAATTCAGGCTATAACTTTTATTACCTCTTTGCAGCAGGATCAATATTAGCCTTTGTATGGGTAAAGGAGTTATGTACCATTGAACTTTGTATCTAAAATTAATGATGATTTAAAAAATTAGAAGAAAATAAGAACATTTACATGATGCTTTTTCATCATGTATATATATATATGTGCCATGTAATATATTAATTCTTCAAAATTTAATTACTAATATTTCTCACTTTTTTTATTAATAATTTAGGGGCCAATTTTAAAACTCTTAACTGTAATTGTAATGTTACAATCGTTAAAAGTTACAGAATAGGCTCCTAAATTTCTTTTATAACTACAATATAAAACAATTATATTACTTACGCAGTGACAAATACATAATTATTATGATCTATAATTTCCTGTCCGATCAAAGTGCATAAAAACATGTATAGAAAACAAATAAATGTTATTGATAAATATAGTAAAAGTTCTGCAGTATTATATTCGAGTAATACAATCTGAAAGAGCTAGTAGAAAAATGAATTATTGGCTGCGTTCAACAGAGAGAACTAATCAGATAGTACTTAGTGATTCTTTAATATGATTAGTTCTTGGTCTTTAGTTCTTCACTGGATATAAGTGTAAAAATCAATTATATTGAAGAATCATTAAGCGCTAACTGATTAGTTTTTCTGCTGAACGCAGCCATTCAGATCAAATTGAGAGAACATACTATAAATGTAATTTATTAATTTGCGATAGAATTTAGCACAACATTTATCTATTGTACTATAAATTAATGTATTGAGGTATATATTTTTTCATAAATAGAAAATTATAAATTTAAATTAATTGCTATATATATGAAATATTTCTTATTATTATTATATATA